AAACGTTTGGGTGTTGAAAATATTTTAAATGTTCAGTTGATTTTATTATTTCTCGCAATACATTTTTTCCGTATTTTAAAATTTTAAACATCTATTAGCTCGGAGTTTTTCCACGACTGGCTTCAGGCGACCTTTAGATAAAAGTCAAAGGACGGTAAACCGGGTAGGCCGTAAGTTGGGTTTATGGCACCCAATCCAATTACCCGTAAATACACGACCTTGGTAATCCTCGATTGACCGACCTATTTTTTATTTTATTGTTTTTTTTTCCCCAGATTCGTAAAATTGAAAACCAAGTTAGTTTGCAACTCGTGAACCGTATAGAACTGTAAAAATGTATGAATTTGCAAACAAAAAATAGCTCGTCAAAAATAAATAACACTGTTATGTCGTTTTCGTCAATTATTTTCCGTCGAACGGAAATTATTAAAACATAACTGCGGAGCACAATGATGACACAAGCCGTCGTTGTTTACGATAATACGATAATAATATTATGTATACAAATAATTTTTATGTCTAGGGTCGTAACAGTTTGCATGTTTGTCAGATATTTCATGCAATATTATTATAGTTTCCGTTCATTAGTGTCTCGGCTATTCTAAATGGATAGTTGTAAACAAAGAGTATAAAAAATTTTAAGATATTTTGAATTTTGCCCAGTCGAAAAAAAATTAATAATGTATGCACAAGATAAAAACTATTGAACACGTTTCAATTTCTTTCTCCTAAATGGACTGGTAAATTACTGGTTATAATAATGTTATCGCAAAGTTATATTATTATGTTTTTCAGCTACCTACCTATATTAATAATAATAAGCAGTATACGTAGGTACACACATAACGCACATAACTACAATTTATATATAAAATATAAATTATTAATTCAGACATATGTCTGTTGTATTTATCAGTCTATCGTGATTTTTGTTGCCATGCTTACCAATAATATTGTTGAATAATACGTAAGAAAGTTTTATTTAAAGATGTGTTTTGACTTTTATTTACACGTGGACGTCATTATTTTCTATATAATTTATATTTTCATATTACCTATGTTGATTATGTTAACAGTAAGTTCCGACCGACGGTCAAGACTCACGAGGGTAGCCATTAAAAAATGTTGGTTTTACCAATAAAAATAATAAGTTTCATTAGTATTAATTATATTTTTATTTGGGTCACCAAAATCATGTTTTACGGTATTGTCTAGTAATAATTTAATAAGTGTTTCTATGGTAACCATCTATGGTAGCTTTCTTGAACTTTTATAAACTGTATGGCTAATTGTTGAGTACTCGTTATTTTTCATTCAACTTCGTTCAGTTTTATCAATTCAAAATAAAATGAAATCAGCGATTTCAAATTGTAAACGTTAATTAACGTTACCTTTTCACTAATTTAACCTTTTCACATAATTAAGGAACACATTTTATTGATATTTATTATAACGGTGTTGACTTCGCACCTAATATTTGTTCGTAATATTTTGGGTGATGGTGATTATGATGGTTAGTTCTTTTACACTACCTAATCACAAAGGCAAATAATATATCTTTTATTATTATTATTCTAACACTTTAGATTATGATTGTAGTGACAAATCCATTGGTCTCAAAGTAATGATTTTTTTTTTACATAAATGCCCCCAAACACTTTTACGGATGACGGAGTCTGGTGCAAAAGTACTCCTTTCATACATAGCTCTTCATGAATAGTTTTTCTATATTATAATAAATACTGGAAATTTGACATATGCAATGTTTTAAAAGTGGGCTTTTGAATTTTCCTGGTAGTTACATTCCTTTACCGCGTTTAGTATACACTTTATTCGCCCGTTCTGGCTTTCAACATCACCATAAGTAGTATACCATTGTTGGAATTATACATAATATATATATATATATATAAACAAAAACAAAATGTAGGTATTGTACGGTGTTTTTGAAAAAAACAGTCCACCGTAGGAGATGGGTGTGCCCTACACCTGGCCTTAGTCGTATGACACAATTATTTCGTTTCACTTGCACAAGAATCTATCTAATTTTGACCACTGTATTAATATAATTATATATAGTGTGCTGAATATATTTTACTTCTCCACAAGACGTTAATTCCTTGTTTGATTTCTGTCAATCGAAAAACGATATCGAATTCAACGAGGTAATTTTTTAATTTGACATCGAAATCCTATTGGTTTTCTATCATTTTAGTTCAGACTAGTTAACTATACCTTCTTTGTTTATATAGAACATACTATTTCATAGGAACTTTGTATGCTAGTGCAGCCTTGCAGTGCAACGTGTCTTCTTCTGTACTACTTTTTAGTTAAAGATAATAATAATAATTTTGACTTGACGCTGAAATTTCCGACATGATCACAGCGTACACTGAATTAAACTTACTTTAGTTATTTTATTATAATATAAGATTGTCATTGCCCTCGGGGAATGCATGAAAATGCAGCGTGTCTAGCGTATCTAAGGTTGTTGGTCGAGTTTGCTCTTGACAGATCCATCTCATGAAAATGACTTTTATTAGCAGCAGTGGTGGTAGATCTAAAATGTTCTCATGGGGACTCTTTAGAAAATAATAATTCAATGAGCATTTTACAATAATATTGTTGACAGCTCCGTCCAACAATAACTACAAGCGAGTCAAATAATTTTAGATTCTGAGTGGAAAGATGAATGTATTGATTTTACAATGATGTGTGTTTTTTTATTTTTTTATTATTTTTTTTTTGTGTCTGTGTACACGATATGTAGTCGAAATAATGCTTCGATTTTCAACTTCAGTATCTTGTACGATTAGAAAGTGAATATTGTTGGTGCATTGAGAAGGTAAAAATTTAAAATTCCCAGTAATTTTAAAAAACGACAAAAAAAACCAAAAAATAATTAAGGATAAACAGGAATTTTTACGAAAAATCGAATTTGGTTTTCGGTGTAAATTTAAAACAAATTACCGTAGATACATGAAATTTTCACTGGTTATTTATATTTGTATATTTTCTATACAAGATAAAATTTTTAAAATATTTATATTTATTTTGAACTGTTTAGCGAAATTTTTAATTTTTCAATTTTATTAGTTTTCTTTTTCTATGAATGTCAATAAAACTTTATTTGTTGAGTGAAAATACTCAAAAATGTAATACAAAGCTCCTAGTATATTGTTACATTGACATTTGAAAAATATAAAAATCCTTAGTCACAATTTTTTTTTGTAAGCATTTATAGCGTTAAAAATATAAGTTTTTATAATGTTTTTATAATTTAGAAATAATTGTATTATTTAAATACACCGACTGTATTATAATGTAATCAGTTCAGTAGGTATTGTCGATGGTTTTAAGTGTATATTTTCATCTATTATTAAGAGTAGTTGCCTTAGGTATATTTTTCTAGTGAGTTATTTTTCCGAAATGCCTATAGCTATTCATATATAATTTCAGACTATACTAAAGGTGTTCAATAAAAGTCTAATACATTTTAATGACAAGGTTCGTCATATGGCATATTATTATATAGGAATTGGTGGTAAATAAACATTCAAAGCATAACATTTAATATTTATCAATATACAAAATAATAGATAACAAACTGAATAGTGATACCTACAATGTACCTTCAAACCCTTTTTATATGCCAGAAGTCTTAAGTCTGATTGTAAATTAATATAATATGTACCATATTATATTTATGGTATGAACACGAAACCATGTAATATTGTAATATTCTCAGGTCCTCGAGTTTTATCATTTAAGTTTTAGTTTGACCAGCATTGAAGAAACCCAAGCACATTGTGTGTATCGTGCAAAAGCATTTTTTATTTTTTATCTCTCAAGTGGGTAATAATATACCACTTACCCCTACAAGCGCTGGGCAGAAGGCGAGCAAAAATCAGTGCATTAATATTCCCGAATACGGCAATAGGTAGGTACATACATAATATATAATTTTTCTCTCTCAAAAAATTTCTCTCTGTCTGGGCGGCGAACAATGGTTGCGGTGACAAAGCCAAATGCCGAGTAAAAAATTATAATTAGGTGTATGAAAATAATAATCCGAGAGTGCTGATAGACGTATTGGCAGCATATAATATAATTTTACTTTAATAGCTTATGGTTTTTATTTTTCGATTTACCACTGCAAGATAAACCGTTTGTTTTCTAATATGGCCAGCTAATATAAAATACGTAAAAACAATAACACGTACCAAACTGAACTTCGTACAAAATTGTCGATTTCGATAACTAATGTTTATCATTACTTTTAAGCGCTTAATTAAAGAGCAAGGCTCGAATATTATACATATAATATAATATAATATGATTTAATATATATGTAATATATGTATTTCAGTCGAATATATTACGTTATTTTTATCATTGTGAGTGACGCGACAGACCAGCGCCAGTCACTATAATATTATTATCATTCCGTTGTATTTTATTGTTATAACATCGTGTTTACCGCGACGACATATTTTTTAAAAAAGCAGTCTGCCTCATGAGTTGCGAAGTATTTTTTATCATCAACTACAACAATATAAACGTCAGTTTTAAACGACCATATCCAGCATATATATACTTAGGTTTTTCGCATCATATTTATCGTATACATGAATCATTTTTTCGTTTTTAAATTTACGTGAAAATGTAAAATACTAAAATGTATGACGTAATGAATTTTTAAATATTACTGCAGTGTGTTAATTTTGTTTGGCGAAGTACAAATGTACGATCCGGCCACAAGACGATTTACTGAAATCAAGAGAAATAGGTAAAGTGTAATAACAATTATTTATTAAAAGGTATTTTATTTGCCTACGGGTGTACGAGTAATCGACAGTAAAATTGTCACATTAAAATATTACGCTTAAAGTTTGAATTCTTTCAATCTGCATCTTCAAAACCATTGTTATTACTAATTTACACGACATAATATTAAACGAACTGTGTGTAAATGAATGGTTTAATTTTTGGATAGATTTTCAATTATCTTTCAATTTTGAAAACAGATAATCTTTAAATTCTACCGTTCCTTTGTGATTGGCTTCGTTGTATCCGGGTAAAGTTGTCCGTGCGGCATCAAACCATCTCAATATGTTAGGATAACTGGTCAGTTCATATCCCACAATCTACAAAAACAATAAATATTTTTATAATACATAATATGTGTTTATCATATTAACAAAGTTTCATATCACAATTGTATAAAAAAAAAAATGTTTTTAGTAAATTCAATTAAAATATATGCTTAACACCTTTTTTTTTCATTATACAATAATATTAATATGCACACATCTAAACACTTTACCAAATACATGTTTTATTCAGACCATTCTGGGGGTTCAGCGTCCATTTTACTGAATTTATGTAAAAAATTATGTATACAATTTAAATACTCGGTCTAACGACGTCTGACTTTAAAATGCAAACAACGTTTACGTATTTCAACGAAAAATATGTTTCCTAGAGGTTTTATATGTTCAGTTAATGTATGCAAATTAATTTATAATACAATTCCCAACAGAATAATGTATGTAAAAACGTTTAAACATTTTTTTTTTTTAAGATGACAATACAATTTTTAATTCACCTCTAAACTTGATATAGTTACTACTACGACGATATCGGCGAGGGTAACTTCGGGCCCGGCCACCCACTTAGTTTTTGCCAAATACGCATCGAGTATTTCCAAGGCGGCTTTCAATTTCGGTAAGGCAGCAGTTCCAAAGTATCCGGTCATGAACACTGGGCTCTAAGGAATAACATTTAAAAGTATATTATTTTATTTGAAATGTTACGTTTGCCCGTTAAGTATGGTAAAAATCACATAAATATAATACAGTCAACTCTCGGTAACTCAAATCTTGATACCTCTTAACCTCTAAATTCTCGAATACATTCAATTCTTTTCATTTAAACGCTATAACACCTATTATTGGATTTTGATACATCGACATTTTTAGTAACTAGAATTTCCCCTCCCCTTCAGTTCTCGAACTTCCAGTAACCGAGTGTCAACTGAACTTACCTACAATCAAACTATTTATAATAATAATAATATTAATAGTTGTAGTAGACAGTAGAGTAGTAATAGTTGTGGAAATAAGTACCTCTTAATATTAAACTATTCGAGAACTCACAACATTTAATTAATATATCCATCAGCAGTAAATATGAACAAATTGAGCTAAACTAGGATTTACTTAAAAGAAATATAATTATTTCCAACAGCAGCTGAAACATTAATTTGAACTATTTTATGGGTTGATAAGATTAACAAGTCGAATAGTTTATAATAATATTATAGATTTACATGCTCGTAACTTTAATCAGTTGCATTCAACTGATTTTCATCCAAAAAAAATCAGAAAGAATTTTTTTCGGAATTTTTTCTTTAGCAACATTTAAAACCATGAGTTAGTTCCTTGTGCGCTATTTGCTTATTTAATAGTATATTTTATTTATATGCTATATTGATAATTCAGTTATGTTTTTTTTACTTTTTTTAGTCCGTTTTGATTTTTGTATTGAATTCCTCATAAAATTTAACTCTGGACTGACTTTATAATGTCTATGTATATCTCAATAATGATGAATGATGTAATGAAATAATTTAAACGATTAACAGACTGACGGTTTCACTCTCAAGTTATACTTTTTGAATTGAATCGTGTAATTGTAACACGAGTATGAATTAATGACCTGACGAGAAGCAAAGGCTTAAAACTTTGTACGTAGACTATTTATGAAATTCTGAATTATGGAAAATTATATTTACTGTAATCATAACAAAAATGTTGTCCACCAGAATCAACTCTATTTTAAAAATAAATCAGATACCAATCAGTAAAATTAAAGATAACTAATTTATCAGACCTTCTTCTATATTTAATTATTGTCTTTGAGAAATATTGTTAAAAAATTGATGAAAATTTAATGTCAAAAGCTTGACTTGACGTTTTTTTTTATGAAAATGACGAGAATAATTTTTATAATATTATAACTCAAATACAAGAGCTTTATCTTTATATAATTATATGATTTCAACTTTGGAGTAAAAAAAGTTTTAATCTGAACTTTAAAAAGTAGACGTGAGATGTGAGAAGCGTTTTTTAAAATTCATGTTGCGTATTGTCGATGGTTATGGAATTTAAATTACTAGCACGTTTTGCTTAGTGGGCTTCTATTGTAGGTACTATCAAAACACCAAATTCAAATTTATCTTAAATATAGTGCATTTTATAATATTATCATGGTGAAATAATGATGGAAAAACCAAACATAACCAAATTGACTTTATTAATAGCATTTAAAATATAAATAGTTATTACTTTCGTAATAACATAATATTATTTATTTTATCGTTCAAGTTCTCATCGATGAAAAATCAAAATATTTATAATAGATTTTACTATTTACATTAATATTGACTCGTTTTATAACAATATCATAGTTGATAAAAGCAGTAAAATGTTGTCGATTGATGATTTTAAATGTACCTATATGAATACGAATAACCGTACTCAAACGTCATTGAAAGGTCGAAAAACCCGTTTTGGTAAAAGTTTGGTTAAAAAACCTGAGTACTTTTATGAGCCACTTACACGATTAAAGCTATGTACATACGAATATTATATAACGTAATGTTTTTGCTATTTTAATTAATTCTCGTTAAAAAAAAATATGGATATTGACTTTTTGGGGGGTGTTATTATGTAGGTTCACAAATAAATAATTCTTTGGATTGATTATACCACGAGAAATAAAGATAAAGTATAAAATAGTATTTCATTTTTATATTTAATTTTAGAAGTAATCGCAATGGCTTAAATTCGACAAAAATGAAGGACTTATACCTTTTTGAAAAACTGTTAGAACATTGTTTGAAATTACGTATCCAATGAAACGAGTTCTTTTGTATTACGCAGTATTTCGAAGTTCAATTCAAGAGGACTGTTTCTCCTTAACAATGTATTGTACTGATAGCTCCAAGAAACATTGAACCCAACGTATTAAGTTCTATACATATATTTTTGGAGACGCTAAAATGTATATCACCAACATTGATTTGATATGTCAATATATAATATATTATATTATTGCATATTTATTTTATTCATTTTTAATTGTTAGGACAAGTCAAATTAAGTATTACCAATAATATTTTGTAAGTCATTCGAATAAATTGTTATAATTATTTGACCCAAAATAAAATAAAATATGATAATATGATGATTTGCAATTATCATAATATGACAATAATAATATAACGATGTCATCGACATTTTCCATAATAATAATTATAATAGTAATTTTATTGGTAACCACCTTTTATTAGGAATTAAGATTATTAAGTTGCGATTGAAAGTACCTACTCTATTGATAATAGTATTTTTAGTTAGCATGCTTGCCGAACCACTACCACTACGTATATATTGTATTCATGGTACCGGTATATAATTACATGTTATTTTGAAAGTAAAAATATTGAATTAATAAAAAGTTAAAATAAATAGTAATCCTACACTTAATATTTTATAGCTGTCATTTAAGTATTACATTTTATTGAAAATAATAATCTTTGTAGAATATAAAAAAGTGGAGTAATAATTCTTCAACTTATATTTGAAGTAATCAAATATAAATAATTTATAGGATATCGTATTAAATTATTAGCATTGTATAGTAATTAATATTATCTATTATATATATTATTTCTTTACTGAAAAATTGTTCCCGAACGGTTTTTTGTGTTTTTATTTTATTATTTTAATTTGAATATTTTTAAATATAATAATATCAATGATAGTGTTCCACCATATCACAAATTAACTTTAGCTAAGTGATCGTGTAATAACATTATGTGGAGATCTGTTTGTGTGTAACGTTTTATGAAAGTAGTCTTTTGTGCAGGAGTCAAATCTAATAAGCAAAATTGCCTTAAATCATTAATTACATTTAGTTACCTACTCAACTAAAAGCTATTTTATTCCTTATCGTTTACAGACTTCAGTTTTGATTATATTATGCACTATACGTATATACCTCAGTCGTATACTTGCTAAATTCTTATTTGTAAGTTTATAAGTGAGTTTTTTGCACAATATTTATATAAGTCAGTTTATGTAACTGTCAGTTCTTTATATTATATATTATTATAAAGAACTGACAATTGGAAAACATAAATTATAATACAAACGAGTGTGCGACTGATTTTGTATACATCAAATCGTTTAAACTTTAAATTTTTGGATTTCTTATACATCAATTGTATATGTTAGGTTAGGTTGTTTTGAGCGAAGAAACATTGATGTAATTCCACATGCTATGAACGATATTCAAATTGGAGTTCGTGTGAATTTTTTCATTAATGATTATGATTCTTTATCAAATACTCAGTATTTACAAGTTTTTGTACGGTGAACTGTGAAATATTTTATTTTGGTTGTATATTTTACGTTTTTTACTTTGCTTCAGTTAAAGTACACATTTAGATGTTAAATAGGTACATGTAAATCAAAATCGTAATGTAAATATAATAGTCAAATTTAAAGTATTCCTTGGACATAATTATTATAATAGTTGAACGTTTGATAATAATCCGGTCAAATATGTAAACGTTCAAAAAGAAATTGAAATTGTTAATGTATGTGGTCAATGAAATCATTAAGACTTGTGTATTTTTCTTGGGTTGAATAATTAATGGTATGGGTGAATTTATATTATATTACAAAAAACAGAACCCACGGAAATTATATAATTTTATTATGAACTATTATGAAATAAATACGAATACTTACGAAATAATCGGATGCTCTTCTGTACAGAGATCCCAAATCAAAATCAATGCGGTGATCAATCGTCGCTCTTTTCTGTAAATCTTTTGGGTAGAGCTGCTCTTTGGAATACGGCCCAGTGGCTGAACCGTATTTCTCTACGAGATACTTGCAGATCGCTCGGCTAAAATAATTTTTTTAACAATTTAAGAATGCACATGTTAACAATAGATTGATTCGTTTATTTTGCCGACTTTTAAGAACTGAAACCTTTTTTTTTTATAGATACACGTATTAACTATAAATTATATAAATAAGTAATCGAAAACAAAATTTTTCATAAAATGTAGAATGGTACCTAGATTATAATATAATATAATATTATTTTATAATGTTCCCGTACACATTGTATTATTTGCAATGGACAGTAAAGTGTACGAAAGTGTTACTCTAGGTAAGTACATTGTTTTGTTTTTAAGCGTATTTTTTATAACTACTATAAGTCTAACATTTTAACAGTAAAAAAATACCCGTGTAGGTTGATACTTTAAGGACTTTCGTTTATTTAAAATAAGTGAAGTATATTAAATTATCTACATTGTTAGAAGTGATAAAATTGGATAAAATATTTTAAAAAAACATTAAACATTTACCATTTACCCTTTGATAATGTTTAAGTTACGATAGTATGTGTATATTGTACCTATATGACGTATTTTATGGCTATAAGTGCTAAATTTGTATTTAATTTAACTAACAGCTCACTTATTGTGAAATTTTTATGATATATGCAATAAAAACAAATAATACTGTTTTATATGTAGTACTTACTCTAAAATTTTACGTTGTTAGTTGATTAGAAAAATAGTTGACATCTTATAAAATGTAACTTCATGTATTAAGAAGCCCTTTTTTTTATTTTATAACATAATATAATACAATTAAATGAGAATATCTGATTATTGAACACCTGTTATAAACTAATTTATTATTAATGGGCAATTAAATAACTATAACATTGTCAGTTGAAATTTCCATACAAATCCTAAAATTGTTGAACATCTAAATTGTCTTTGAAATTACTAATTCAGCCAAGATGACTAATCCATCTGTAGCTGATAAGGAACTTGGTTTATTTTTTCAACGTGGTTCAAATTGCTTTCAATTTTTTCATGATATCTCCAAGAACAATCTCTAAAACTTTCGTTACGATCAGTAGAGTGGTAATTTAGTTTATAATAAGCCACAAAAATAAGGACGCATTGCCTTTTTTCTACGCTTTCATATAACATACAATAAATTTAATATTTTTTTTTTTTTTATTTAAAACAAAAACTCTATTGCAAAGCATAGTGGGGAGTAAAAATTGTATTTCTGTAACCAATGGTAACCTCGTATAAGATAATCCAAAAATTATTCGGTTTTCGTGAGTCAAACCAAATTTCATGTCTATTATAGCGGTTGAACAAAGAAGCCTAAAACACCCTCCGTGTCTCAGGGAATGTATAATTGATATGATATTTATTGAACTACACTAGATTAACATGCTCCTCGAAAACACAGATTCTTCAGCTTTATAATATTTGAATACAATGTTATTATCATAATTATACTTGTAATAACGAATCTCGTAAACGACTTTCGTGACAATCGTGTTCACTCACCTTTCGCTCAAAACGAAACCGTTGTCGACGATGGTCGGAATCGTATGCTGAGGGTTCAGCTGTAACATAACCGAACAAGAAACAGTGGTTGAAAAAAAAATGTCAAACGGCTGCCGATCGAAGTAATCGGTATAATAATATTATAGGTAAGTATAGGTAGGTATAATAACTTGTTTGAATTCTGGTTTTTGCGTGTCTCCTTTGCTCGGTATCGTCTCGATGGGATTGAGTTTGACTTTCAAAATGTAGGCCACCAATTCCACAGTCCTGCACGGTGGACTCCACGAAGCGTAGTAAAAATCGATGGTCATTTCGAAGTTTTCGTAACCGCGATTTAGATGAGAGTCGAACGAATAAAGTCGCTGTAGACGTCTATGCCAATGTGTTATATATATAGGTGGCTAAAGATGAAATTTTTTTATGCTTTTTTTTGTTGCTCTCGCATCGCATAAACACGAGACATATTATGTAATAATAATAACTGTTGCCGGTCCGTTTGTTGTATAATGATGTCAAATAAGCGTAAAGAAAAAATCACATAATCTGAATAACTTCATGTTTATCACGAGCCATATGGCACGTTATGGTACCTACATAATATTTTTTTTATCGCCGAACAATATTTATGTCGAAGAAAAAATAGTACCATCAGAATCAGTGTAATATATGATCGAAATAATTTATTGAGAAGATTTGAAAACTTGACGTAAATAATATTAGTGATGAAGAACGATATCGATATTTTTATTCGAAATCGATATCAAACAATTTTTTCGACATCGATGTTATTAAGTACATAGATTTTCGATATTGATATAAATACAATATACATTCAAATTTTAATATTTTTGATTGTAAATACGTTTAACGATTTAATCAGATATACATAACTTTTGTACCTATATAATATAATATAGTAAATACAAGTTGCCAAATATTATTGAATATCGTTCACGGCGAATTTTATTTATTATGTACATTTTTATCGTGTAGGCATAGTACAAAATAATAAATTTATAAAAGCTTTTTATTGTGACTTGTGAGTATAAAAAAAAATGTACATCAATATTACGACATTGATATTCCATATCACTATATAATATGATATCGATACTAAAAATATATCGTACTGCATCGCTTCCTAATAAATACAGTAATAATATTATTATTTATTACTATAAATATAATATTTTCTAGTCTCGGGACGTGATTTACTCCGACTCGACTTAGTGGACATAGAAATTTGTGTTGTCGTCGGTGAGGCATCAAAATGGCTTCTGTTTTCATGGTACGCATAAGCACCTTCAACGCAATGATTCCGTTTTGATATATTTTCTTGAGTTAAGAATGAAGTTATCGAATAAACGACGGAAAACGCTTTAAAACCATGTCCGTATCGTCGTGGCCCTGCAATGCGATAAAAGAAAAATATCGGTCAAACAACGCTTACCAAAACCTAACCTAACCTAACCTAACCTAACCTAACCCTAGGGTCTACCTCACACCGTTTTTATATTAATTGAAGATTTGATATTTTTAAACGTTTTTACTCGCAACAAAAAGCTGACAATGTGAAATATTATAATATTATAATAAACATTTATGTATGTTTTGTACGTCGTTTGGCCAACGCTATAGTTCAGCTGCCTTGTCGGGTTTTGACTTTTGATTAATGACTCCAAATGTTGTTATAATATCATACACATATGTGTGCAGTTATATGAATAACAATAATAAACAATAATTTGTTTGCAAACAATTAGTTTTGGCAACTTGCTCACTGCACGACATAAATACATCTAATATCATTAAACATGTCGAGACCGATGTCATAATACAGCATATTAGGTATCTTTGAATATTTTATGAGTCGGTCACATATTGTTATTATTTGCATTTTTTTTTAATCTCCATAGATTTTTTACCTACAAGACTCAAATTTTTAGGATTATAACATATTATTATTGTTTACTATTCAACTACAATAAAAACCAATGTGAAAAATAAACTCAAAGATAAGCACAGTGGTATTAAACGTTATTGATATTAAAGTTTTTTTTATATTATTATATTATCAATAAAATCAATTTAAAAATAACGAAAAAACACAACTAAGACATTTTTAAAAAATATATAACATTACTTTAGATTTTGAGTATTTGCCTCATTTTATTTTTGACATAGTTATACTAATCTTTAATTGTCTTTCATAGGTACAAATTAAAGATACAGATACAATAATTGAATGAATTGTATCTAATTATGAATTAATAAATCGTATAAGTGTAATAATATATTTATTATTTCTAGCGATTTGACATTTATATGTCTATATACTAGGGTCTATGATGTGAATTTAGATTTTAAATTCTGTTCTGGATAACATTTTTTTAAGTTTACTTATTTTACTTAATTCAATCACATATTATTATAATATAATTTAATTTTTTTTTTTATGACATTACCACTTACTTACTAAAAACACTTTTATTTATATATTTTGATAACACAGAGCATTTCTAGACATATAATAGTTTAAATTTATTACTTCTTACATAAAGTCTACAATCTACATCAAATAAACTTTGTCAACTACCGAATCGTTACCACTAAGCAAAGATTAATTCGTATCACCAGTTGTCCACCACAGTCACATTTAGGTCAATTTCCCGGTAACTCTTATAATCGTTCTGCCATACAAATAATCAGTATGATACACTGACAAAATAAATAAATAAATAATTGAATAGGCTTTTCGGGTACATGGGTATCGTTGGTCCAGTTCTCCGGTATCTCATAATCAAAAAGGTGGGTAAGTGGATGTCGCTCTGCTGTACAGTAGGTCACAAGTGGGTCACTGTATAATGGATGCTATTAAATTTGAATTCAATGATTCAATATCATTGTATAAGAAAAACGATTCTGAGCGAAGACGGTATGTCAGTCTAGGTTTAAGACAAATTATATACATATCTATGGTATTAAAAAAAAAATTTACCTTTAATAAATTCCAAATTAATCATATCACATTATCACAATATCCATTAAGTACTTATAACACGTTATACATCAACATCAATAACAAACCCTGATACTATCATAGATATATAATAATACACTTTAGAAGTTTCAAGTAGGTACCCCGTACCCACGAATAATATTATATAATCACAACAAAATAACTAGGTTTTTTAATATGAAATTTCGTCCAAATTTGAACATAAAATGACTATAAAAATAAACTGTGATTGTATATTTTTTAGATTTTTCGGTAAGAGAATTAACTACTTACGTAGAATCTTGTTTTAAATTTTCAATCCTTAGCTATAAAAACTGAACATTTTATAATTTATTAATTACGATGATTAATAATTTTCGAGATTTTGAAAAATTCTGTCAAAATTCGATTTTAAAATGCTTATAAAAAAAATTGTGCCTATGTATTTTTAATATTTTTCAACTGATATTGTAACAATATATCAGGAGCCTTGTATTAAATTTTTACACTTTTTGGCCCAACAGATAAAACTTAATTGATATTTATAGAAAAAAAAAACTAAAAAAATTGAAAACTGAAAATGTCCGTAAACGGCTCAAAAAGAGTCAAAATATTTTCAAAATTGTATGGTGTATAGGAAACGCTAATATAAACATTCAGTGAAATTTTCATGTATCTACAGTAATTCGTTTTTTAATTACAACAAAAAAAGGAAATTGCCACATGAGAAATCGAGTGAATATCCAATGTTGTAAAAATTTGAATTTCAAACGCTCATAAAAATTTAATTTGACTTTCCAGTAGAGATTTTTTTATTGATAAAGGTAGACAATCTTATGAGTAATCTTGTATTAGATTTTCAAATCTTAGATTTAAAAAGAAAAATTTTTACAAATTCTTAACTCAAAATAATTTGCTAATTTTCGTGATTTTTCCATATTTTGTCAATTTTTGAACTTTAAATGCTTATAAATAAAAATTGTGACTAAGGATTTTTAATATTTTTCATCTGCCTTTGAAACAATATATTAGGAGCCTTCTATTAAATTTTCAAGCTTTCGCAACCAACAAATAAAATTTTATTGATATTTCTAGAAAAAAAACTAAAAAAAAACGAAAAATGAAAATGTCCCTAAACTGTTCAAAATAAATCAAAATATTTTGAAAATGTTATCGTGTATAGAAGATGCAAATATAAACAACCAGTGAAAATTTCATGTATCTACGGTCATTTGTTTTAAAGTTACACCAAAAACCAGAATCGATTTTTTGGAAAACCGATTTTGCGTAAAAATTCCCGTTTTTCCTTAATTTTTATGTTGTTTTTCCCGGCGCTCTTGAAAACTACTGGGAAATTTAAATTTTGACCTCCCCAATGCACCAACGATATTCACTTTCCAATCGAACAAGATACTGAAGTCGAAAATCGAAGCATTATTTCGACTACTTATCGTGTACACAGACACAAAAAAAATAAAAAAAAAAAAAAAAAAAAACACACATCATTGTAAAATCAATACATTCATCGTTTCACTCAGAATCTAAAAATTATACCAATATTATAGTTTAATAGTTCTATTAAACATAATATTATTACAATCGTTTATGATTTTTAACTTTTCATATACTTTATATTCACAGAGCATCCATAATTGTATTTCTATGAATTTGATATTAATTTTAATTTTAATTTGGTATAACATATTATAATATATCATGCATATTATATAGTGTTAAGATATTATTATCTATGTATTTAAATTTATCATAATTTAATGTAATAACATAATAAAACGATTTTAAATGTATTTGTTTTACTATTAGTGTTAAGTCGCAATCTAATTTTAATTATGTTATTTATTACAACTTCAATTATTTTTATAACTGTATGAATACAAATTGGAACAATGAATCTTAATGGAAGCTTAGATCATATTATCCATATTGAAAACGATATGGTGGTTCCCAGTTCTCCCATCTTACAAAATCTATTTTGTAAAACTTTTAAATTTTGGTGACCCACAACGTATTATTGACTTCTTTTAATCAATGATGTGGCGACGACCCTCAGTTCCTTTCGAGAACCTTTCATCAAAATGTCTGTTGGTATTATAGTGTGATCGATATCGTTTTCAACAGTTTGGCAAATTACAGTTTACAGTGAGTGTGAGCAAGAAATGTCACAACCACACAATAGGTATAATATGTTATTGGTTTGCAAAGTTAATAATATGTCATCGGCTAGCTTATTTCTGGACAGGTTTGCGGTTTCGAGGTGTGTGGTGACTATTTGACGCATTTCAGCCTCCTCAC